TATACACTGTTTTTAATAAACGAATTTTAGAATTAAAAATCTACTTTACGATTTTTAAGTCTATGTATAGCAGAGTTTTTTCATATTTTATTTATCTAATTTACATCTGAATGTATATTAATTTTAACACAAACTCTTGCGTGTCTATTTTTTAATACGACACATTTAAATATGACAGCGTGTAGAAGTGAGAGGAGCGTAGAGAAATTAACTGAACGTGATTAAATCTAGAACTTTAAAGAATGTACTTTTGAAGAATGTACCATAACCGCCTTTTGCAAAATGCATATATATATTCTTTTTAGCCTTGACAGATATTCTTTGTGATAATACTGAGTCCTCCGTTATTATTTCTTTGCTATTGTTAAAGCGATATTATTTTTGGTAGTTTGTATCTTGAAGCAGTACTTTATGGTGTAGATTGATTTTGTATACTCCAATATACTTTATTATTGTGGCTATCAGGAAGTAAAACGCGACCGTATATTTATGCAGCATGTGATATAGTACAGTGATCATAAAATTAGATAAAAATTGGTTTTGTAAACTTGCCACTAGTATAAATCAGTCTTCATATAGATAACATGTCACAGAACGATTTACGTTGTAATTTACTTTTATATACGTATATACAAATATTTATCACGCAATACCGCGATATTCATATTATGCATGGACATACTAGTGCTATGTTTTAGCATTATTTTGTCCAAGTGAACTCAATTTCCTACTTTGTATAAAAAATTTTCTTGCCATTCCTATAAATAGATAGTATTTTTGTTTGGCAATCAATTAAATATAATCGTAAACGTGACAATGACGCTTCATAAGACAATTACAAAATATATTGATATCATGCATTTGCAGCATTTTTTCATCTACGTATCTTTAACATTCTAAAATTTGTAGTATTATGCACATTGGCAGAAGTGCTTAGTTTGATACAATTTCTTTACATTTTAAGCGACGAAAACATAATTTCTAATTATAATGTAATAACACTAAGTTTGTAAGTTGCATAGGATTAAGTGTTAACTGACTAATGGAACATTCCCATCTTTCGTGAATTTGGTAGTAAACCGAATTCGAAATTCTTATTTGTATCATTAATCTTTGTCCCAGTGTTTGTTTATTATAAAATTTTGACATGTACAAAAGAACCACAGGTCATCACAGTGTACGATTTATAAGACAAAAATAGCTTTGTTCAAATGCTTGCTCCATGACCAATAACAATTTAACTGTTTTGATTGTTTCGACAGTCCACTAAGAAAACCATGGCAAAACGGCGCAGATTCGCAGGTATGCAAATCTAAAGATGAGATACTGAAATGTTTCCTCCTAGCCTTTCGGAAAATTCTAAGTAGAATTACCGCTAGCAATTCATGTGTCAAGTCTTATCATGTATAATTTATTTTACAAATAATTAATTTCTCATCACACACACATTCTGTTGTGGCATTAAACTTTTACATTCGTATTTATAAATGCACTATTTTAAATTTTTGTATTTGCATATTTTTTTCTTTTACCTTAGAAAATACAGCAAGAAATATTTCTGATACTTTGAATAAGCCAATAATTATCAGTAATCATATTAACATTCTAGGTATTAATTATTCATTATTAGTAAATATTAGGTAGTCTAGTTTTGTTTGTGAGAAAAATGGAAATATCACATTTAGATTTATATGAACTTTATAAATTAATTTTTTTATACAAACGTAAAAAATAACTAAATGTATAATCACGCGTCATGATTTTTTAAAAGCATAAATATTTAAAACTTATATTTGAATAAAATGGAAATTTTGCTCGAAAAGTATATTATTTATTGAAAGATAAGAAAAGACATGATAAAATAAATCTTCATAATATAATACATATTACAAAACTTTAATTAATGTGTCACACAGTAAATGTAGGCCATATTTAATAGTACTGTTAATCTATTTTTATTATTTGGAACATATTACTTGGAGCAAACCTTTTCAATGTTCGGTGTTGGTGTAAAAAACATTAGACATAATGTATGACATTATAAGATAAAACTTAAGTACAATTATTTGTAATTATAATTAAGTTTTCATATTTAAATTTGTTCTACTTATGAGAATTATAATCTTGTAAATATATATGATGGTAAAGTATCGTGAAAATTAAGTAATTTATATGATATTTTTTATACTTCCTGAATAGTATCGTTAGTTTGTTACATTTTATACTACATCCACATACGTCATGTATGGATATGTTCCAAAAACATGCACAGTAACTATTGTTGGCTTTATATTTTACTTTGTGACTATATATGTCGTTACGAATATTTTGCATCTTGTATCCCGGCACAATGGCTAGAAAAATAATTTCTATTCCCATCTTTAACGCCTGACCAATTACGAAACTGGCTGTTAAATCCATTATATGTGTATAATGTAAATAGTAATTTCTGAACAAAGTGAATAATTTATATACGTTGCTTTTTGCAAACGAGTATGAAAATTATGACTACATGGATTGTAATGTAAGAAATACATATATAAATTTTAAACAATGACTAATATGAGATAGATGTCCAGAAATGTATATACACAAATGTATATACACAAATTTTTATCAGCACAAACACTGGGGTAAAGGGTACACTGCGCGAGAAGAAAGGTGTTTATTATAAACCGATTAGTCTCTGTAACAATAATTATTTTTCACAACGTTATTTAACATGATTTCATTACTTTCATACATCATTCATTATTTTTCTCTTTTTTTTATAGATTTTATAAGCTTAAAATATTAATGTAATGATGTGATAGCAAAATCAAAGGCTACGGTAAACGTTCGTATATGTATGTTTTATACGTTTTCCAATTGAAATATTTTTCGTCGCTTAATATACCTCTTGATAAAGAAAAAGATGAATCTGTGGAATGCTATTAACAATGATAACAATATCGAATATGTGTATGTTAATCTAAAATGTCAGACTTAACCGATGTAGATAATGTGGACTGAAATGTATTTTATAATTTCCTTTTTTTTTGCTTCTTTTATTTATTACCTGTTGAATGTTTGCTACAAGTATCGTGTATATGTTGCTCGTGAACTCATATTTAACATAACATTATTTACTTACTGTTTTAGTAAGAATTATGTATGTATATATGTATTCTTTTATAATTTGTTTTTCAGCATGAGATAATGGGATTTTTATTATTTACTTATAAAGTATTATTTTGTTTAAGTAGATAGACAATAGATCGCTTTTTCCAAGCTTAAGATAATAGATTTGAAATGTACATATGCTTTATAATTATTAATTGATTGTAGCATAGTTAAAAGGCATGTATTTTTGTTCAGTTGTGCATTAGATTTAGAAAGAATGAAAGATAACGCAGAAAATGTCCGTTTATTAATAAGGAATATTTAGTAAACTATGCGATATAATTCTTTATTAATATTCACATTGTTGTGCGCTATCTTTCACAGATTTCAAATTGTTCTTCCCGATTGCTTTATTAGACAGATATTCAAATTTTGGAAGACTCGATTGATATGCAATATTTTTTGGTACAACTTATTATCTATATTCTATAATGTTATACGCGCAATGGAAGAATAAATATGTAGGATGTGTGATGTGTTGTATATATATTAGTATATTACGGACAATCGCCAACGCATTTTATACATTAATGTAATCTTTCAGGATGGTTCAGGAAAAAAATAACTTCGAAAAATAAACTACGCTAGTGCAGTGCGAATACTGGTGGTTAAAAACATGGGATGCGCAAATGCTAAAAATACGAACGCAGCATTGCTATATAGGTATAAATGGCATACTTTGCTACTCAGAAGACTAATATAAAGTGAAAATATTACGGATAATGTTTATTGTAAAAAAATATCATATTTTATTATGTGGAGAAAATATAAATAATTAAACTCGTAGCAATTAAATGGAAACTCTTGAAATACTTGCGTATGTGATGGTTATATAATTTATAATTATAAATAGCTATACACAATGTAAAGGTTATCAAAATTATGCATTATCAATTACCGATATTAATTGTTTATAGGATCTATGAGTTATAACAATTTACAAATTTTAATTCTGTTATGAGACATATAGGAGAACATAATACTTGAGGGATGTGTTCTTGAAATGCAAAACAATTGTATAATTAATGGATTCCATGACTTCATAATTCATTATTAATAATGATATTGATTCTGATATTATTTCTGAGTCACGCTGTTACTAGTGATTAACATTTCCTCTTTAATTATTAGACGCATGGACCAGAAATTATATATATAAACACACACACACACATATATACAATTATATATATGTGTGTGTGTATATATATATAATGTATATGCATAATATGATATGAAGTACATACGGCATTTTTTGTTAATGATATCGAACACATTACACCAAATTTGTAAAACGCGGTCTTCATGTTGTTCCATTGTATACAAATTCAAATTTGTTATACGTTTCATGTGCAATAATGAAGTAAGGTGAAAGTTCGAACGAGCCAGTCTTTAAGGCCGGTCGTTTCAACCTCTTGGTAGATTAACTCATAGTTAAATCATATACGTGTCCTTCGTTTTTCCTGCAAATTAGACAAAGTGATAATTTAACTATTAGCTAGCTTATTGAGTGGTTGGAAAAACTGGTCCTTATATTTACGAATGTTAGCTAAAATTAATTACACTCAACAATTGTACCGAAAGCAAGTATTCGCATACATGAAACGGATTTTCATATAGTTCACATAGATTTTTATCGGACCTAAAAAAAACGTGTTTAACGGTTTAACAGATCATGTTCATGGTCATTTAAAGATCAAGTTTAACGAACAATTTTAGGGGCATTTAAAAGAATTGATGCTTACAATTATTTATATTTATATTTAATTACGCTTCAAATAGACGTTTATTAATTGAACAAGTCAAAATGTTCTGTACTGTTATTGGAGTAGCTATATACTCTGGTAGAGCTTCTTCAAATATGATTTCTTCTTAAATACTTGCTTGCATGAACATTTAAAAGTACTGTGTTAGACGTTTATAGTACACTTAAACGAGTTCTTTATTCACCCGTGTAATCAATTGGTTGCATAAAACGAATAGGGTTATTGTACTGAGTTTTTGTAAGAGGCATGTATGTTTAGTACACTGCGTACTTATTTACCGTTTTGTATCTAGAAAACATATTCATAGTTAATAAAAGTTTACTGTTTTACTTGATGCTGAATATTATGCAATCTCGAAAGGTCGTTAATTTTATTTATCTATCGACAACGGTGGATAACGCCTTTAAATAAATAACTTTATTTATTGAGGCTCATACATACGTACATATATATCATGTAAGTAAAGTATAAAATATGATGTACATTTTGATTCATCTATCAGACTAGTTTAAGTAATTTATTCTAAAAGTTGCACTTTCAGATCGAATTTAATAGGACCTTCGTACATATCATTTTTTGCACCGTGAATTACCTTGAATTATCTATTTTCAATTATCAATAAATATACATCATTTTGAAAACGATAACATTTAACGGCACTACATCTATTGCTAACAATTGCTTTTCACAATATCACGAGACACGGTAGTGTCTCGCGCCAAGTATAAGCGAAAAGTTTTAAAGTGACAAGCTAAACCACGCGCGCGACACCGACCGTGTAGTTTACGCGAGTGCGCGAGTTGACGGGCCGTCAGAATTTCGGATCTCAACAACGGCTGATCCGACGAACTTGAGACTGCGCTTAATCGATAGCTTGGGTACGATTTGCATAATAAAAATGTTTTTACTTTTCTCCTACGTGCCCCATGAGTAGAGATATTGCAATGCAAAGTCCACGGGTCTGAATTTTCACGTAATTTTTAAGATACGTCGTTCATATATACAGCACAACTAAATTTCTACAATTTCGATCGATTTTTGCTGTCTCCCCTTGTTGCTTGCATCCCAATAATGAGCTGGCAAGACATCGCTGGTCTCGACGAAAAGTCAAACGTCTATTCGGCGACTCATTCAAGTCTAATCTACAATGTGCTTTTCGCAACGAGATACATTCTATTTTATACAGGCAAATCGATATGCTTAAAATATTTGTCGACAATGCACGATTGTGCAATGTATAATATACAATTTATCAACACGCACAAATTTTTTAAACTTGTTTATTGGCTATAAAATGTTTCTAGACGCAAAGAACACATTGTAGATCGGGCAAGTAGTAAAGAGAGACAATGAGCGTCAGCCTCGAAAAAAAATGGCTAAAAATTAGAGATATTTATCAGCCTCATGCTATGTATAGTGTACTATCATACATGTTTATATACAGCATATTTCTGAGCAATACATACACCTACTTTCTTTCTAGGATGGACATCGTCTAACTAAAAGAATACATAACAGGTACGGTATTTTTCATATCTAGTTGTCTCGTAGTCCCGTGTATTTGTTGTCTTATTCTATTCAGGTAAATACAAATGTCCAAAACATAAAAAAATAACATTGTACAACCGTCATATAATGTTTGACAGTGTATTATTGGAAAATATATTTTTACCTCGATATCGAGATGCAAGGTAGATTTACAATCGTTGATTCGATAGTGACAATGCAAACCACATTTTAGTATCACAGTCGAAATTTTCTTGTTCGGCAGCCACCGCCTCCGTTTCTTTAGTTCAACATTGTTTGCAGAAACCCGAGAATATAGCTACCCAAATCCTCATCCTGATTGGTCCATGAAACGTAAACTTTCTTTTGATCGTCCTCGTCTCCTTCCACTCTTACTAATACGGACTCGACCGATATGGAGCCATCCGTTAATTGAATCGACCACCCTGATAGCCTTTCTTTCAATGGCTGCAGTAGTTTTAAGGTAGTGGCGTGCGCCGGGCCGGGATCTCTTACTTGTACGGTGGATGTGAACCTGACCACGTGTTTCGTGATACCTGCAGCCTTAGCAACCTGAAAAAATACAAGAGCAATAATCAATTAGTGCTCATAAAGTAACAATTGTTATTGTCAAGCAGGAGAAACAGCGGTCGGAATTAAAAACGGTTGTAATGTGGAAGATATTACCTCATCCGCGTCTACGAGACAGACGCCGTCTTCTCTCAACATCAGGACGCTGTGAAGTAGCCTCCGTCTCTTCGGATCGGGCGGCAGGGCCGAGTATCTCTTCGCCTCGGCTTTCAGCAACGCTAGAGAAGCGTCCACGGGGACCTTGGATGTGGTCGTGATGATGCAAGTTTCGCCGTTCGCGGGATTGTAGCAACTGACGCCGAATTCCTGTTTAATCTTCTCCTTCAGGTACTCCATCTTGGCGAATTCTCCGTGCACCAGCATAACGTTCTTCGGCTCGCAGTACTGTATCAACTGCATTATTCCTTTCGCGTCGGCGTGAGCGGAGAAGGACATGTACTCCACGGCCATCTTCACCTCCACGATCTGCCGATTCTCAAACTCGATTCTCCGCGAGCCGTTCAAAACCTTGTGCCCCACGGTGCCCTGCACGCAAAAACCCGGCATAATGACCATGTTCGCCTCGTTGGGCGCCCATTTCTTAAAAATCTGGAGGGAGAGGCCAGCGTGTAGCATGCCTGGCGTGGCAAACACCACCATCGCACCTGGATTATCGATATACGACTTGTCAAACGGTTTTATGTGCTTGAAGTCAAACATATTCCGTTGTACGAACGTTTTCTTAATTTTCTGGTTGGTCCACGTGATGAACATTTTGTAATAATTATTGGCCTTCTCGGTTAAACCAAGCGCGAAATAGACAGGCGCTTTTAGATTCATCCTTTCCCAATAGGTTTCCAAAAGTATACACAGTTCCTGAGCACGACCGAGTGCAAACACGGGGATCAACACCTTTCCGCCTCGATCGATGCACTCGTGTACCTGAAAGATTGTTCAAGAAAAATTATTAGAGAAGAGTCCTCGGATCAGGAGATAGGTTTCTAATATGAGATAGCAGGTTTTCAATACCCAAATTCAATCACAAATCTTTTTTTCGCAACAATTGCACGACCCAACAATGAATTTTCCACTAAATAGATTTCGCTCAAAGGACAATAAATTCATGGTGGAATCAATCGCCTATTAATTTAGCAGAAATCCCGCTACCCCATATTAGGATCTTATCTCGTAATAGGGGACTTTCCTCTATCAATAATAATAAATCGAGGGCAGCGTACTTTCTTAAGGAAATCCCTTTCCCTGCACCTCTTCGAGTCTCTAATCGTGGTCGCGTATGTCGACTCGGATATCAACAGATCCGGCCTGCACTTGTCTATCCAGGCAGCGCCCAGGTGCCGGTCGGGCGTCATATTGTAGTCTCCCGTGTACACGATAGACTGCGATCCTACGCGGACCCAAAACATAGCCGCTCCGAGAACGTGTCCAGCGTAGTACGCCTTTATCTCCAGCTCCGGGTCCACCATGACGGATTGGTGAAGTGTAACAGCAATGACCTTCTTCATGCAGTCCTTTATCATCTGCGATGTGAAGAAGTTGCTCTCGCCCTTGCGTTCCACCGCGACTTTCCTCATGTCCTCGAGCAGGATCGGCGCGATGGCCTTGGTCGGGTGTGTCATATAAATTGGTCCGGTGTAGCCGACCTGCATTTGCTCTCGATTAGTGACGTACAACAAAGAGACGTGGACGACGCAAGAAGGTGCGACGGTGAAAATTAATACGTTACCATCTCTGTAAAATACGGAAGAGCGCCGCAGTGATCCAGGTGAAAGTGAGAGATGATGACGCAGTCGACGTAATTGGTCGCGGGTCCCTCTGGAACTATGTAGGAAAAGTCTGGGAAGCGTCTCTCGTCATTGAATCCCATGTGCATTCCGCAGTCCAGCATGATGTTCTTTCCACCCATGGTGACCAGGATACAACTGCGCCCGACATCCTGCCCGGCGCCGAGTGGTGTGACTTTTATGTCCGGCATTTCTGTCAAGTTCAATGAAACGTAGCATTATTTAAGACACTGTGACGAAACGTCGCTCACATCCTAGGATTCTTATAACGCGATCAATTAGGTGAAGTTGAACAGGGTAAAAGTGTAAGTTTAAATAGTACAATTGAGAAAGGAGGACAAAAACGTAGTAGTTAGGGATGGGGGGGATAAATGAGAGTGTGTACGAGGTAGGGTATAATTGTAAACCAAGTCCCACTTGTTGGCACGTAAGCTCAAGTGTGATAAAGATTAATTGAATAACGCTATCAATTGGGATGACGCATGGCTCGGTGCTAACGCGAGTGACTTGTAACGGAAAGGCCGACGATTCCCGGCCTTCGTCCCGCGTATTTCTCCTACTTAACGGCACGAGATTAATAACTCCTTTGTGAGTTAGTTAAGGGCAACAGCCGGCGACTCGATTAAGGAGTCGTTACGCTAAATAACTAAAACGGTTAACGGCGTTCCCTGGTAGGGTGAACTGAAAAACAATGCGTATCAATAGAAAACGGGCGGCAGCTTGTGGAATAAATGCAAATACATGTCTCAGTGCTGAATTCTGCTGTGAATACAACGGATGTCTCCTTTGAAAAAAAGGCCCTTAAAACGCACTGCGCACTGTGTTACCACCAGCGCAAAATACGTCGTTACATCATTTGCTTGAAGTGATATCAATTAGCTGACTAATCTAGATCAACAAATTGCTATCGCTTTCTGAATTACAATCTCGCTGTAATATAAATAAGGGAGATTAGGATTATAGGTTAGGCTTAGCGGGAGATAGCGCTAACCGCCAGCCACGCACCGGTACGTAAACGAATGGTGGATAAAACGGTTACCTGCGCGCGGATTACGGTTGAGAATTTACGGGCGGATTAGCGTGAGCTCGTATCAATCGCTCGCGTTCTCTTCGGAGATTGTCGGGATCTTGTAAACAATATCCTCCTACGCTCTACGACTCAGCGTGATTATTGGCGACACTTGCTACCGAAATATGAGGCGAATTTTGCATGGCAGTCTGGACAACGTAACGAAAAAGGAGTAATTTTCCCGGATAAAAATCCTAAAAGGTTATCGCCGATGCGTTCCGAAACTCATTGAGGGGGGAATTTTATTGCCGTCGAACGCGACCGCGCGCAGCACGAACGCTTATTACAAACACCGGTTGTCTTATTTATTATAATTTATAATGCCGCCATTTTATATCATTACTTTTGTAGAGAAGATACTTGGGGGGAGAGAAGATCAAAATGTTTTTTTCTAACAAAATATATCCAAATAATTAAATTATATAATTCTTAATTGGATGACGCTTATACTTGGCGTCTTTTTGTAACCTTTTTTTTTATTAAAAAAGGTTATTTTTAAGGTGATTTATAATTACTTCAGTCCTGCCATTTGTGAATATTTGCTACATGAGCAGTCATTTCACAGTCGACACCCTAAGTGAAAGAATGGTAACGTTTCGTAGAATTGTTTTAATAATTCTTTTAAATTATACAATGCATTTTTGTATTGCAATATAAATTTGTACAAATTTTATATATCTTGACCAGATACTCCAGAAAGTGTACCAAGGGAAAGCATAACAATTTTGTGTGTCTACAATGCTATAATCTAATTTAATCCAATTTCATTTTAATCTAACTACACTTTAATAATTAAATACTGGGGTTGCAGCTTTCTTTTTACGTTGACAATAGTACTATGCATCCTTAGAATTGGAAAGTTGGATACCAATTTCCAAGCATCTCGTTGTCAGTAGAATTTGTTGAAACAATATCAGAGTATTCCAGCACTGTATTCGAAATGTCAAGCATCTGTGTGATTGCAAGGCCGATAAAACCGTAAAAGTATACGAAAAGGATGAGATAAATTCATTGATACTTTTGAAAACCTTAACAAATAATTGACGATGGAATAAACGTATAGACTAGCATCTTCTCGCCTTCAAATGAATAAGTTTATTCCCATTTTAAACAATTAAACTTTAGTCAATTTTTTATCATGACTAAAAAACTTTACATGTCCGTTCTTTACAGCCTTTTGTTGTCGTGTGTTCTTATATTTGTTTTCGACTTAACACTTTATTTTAATTTATTTACTTGACGTTAGTTATTCACCTTAACATAATAACTTATTTTGATTTTTATGTACATTACGATGAATCTTAATTATTCTGTCTCACTGATATCACTCAGCGAGAAATGATTTGACATCGATCGACGAGTCATTTCTCGCTGGGCAGTATACAATTTAAAATTGTACTGAAAAGGGCTTCTTGAAGCTGAAACGTTTACCACTTAATTATTCAAGATATTATTAGAAAATAAAGAATAAAATAATTATTCGCAACTTCTTAGTACTTCGTATAGTTGGCCCTTTTCTCTTTTTAACATGTACTGATATTATTCGCGACAATCATTGTTTTGTCGCACCTTACGCTATTCTATTATTTTCTGGCCTAGAAAAAATAATTTTATTTTTTGCGACCTCTAATTAATTCAAAAACTATTTGATATAAAGCGCCAGGTTTTCAACATAATCGAGTGCAAAAATTAATGGATTAAATTAAGTTTAAAAATTCATAAAAAAAATGTTCAACGGATAATAATAACGCTTCACAGTTCTTCATCCATGTTGAAATCTTCCTCGGGAAAATCTCCGACCTTTACGTGCGCTGGCTTTACAAATCCACCATACTTTGGGGGACATTCGAAGTATTTTTTACCGTTGACACTGTTGACGGCAACAAGCGTTAGAAAAAAGAAAGACATCTAAGTAATAATATAAAACTGACATGAAATTAAATATATTCACCTTCCATTATTCTTGCCAAGAGGCTCGTCGTATTTAACACCGATCCACCAGCCTTCTTTGAATTCAGTTTTGCCTAATAAGAACAGGACATTTGTATAAATGAGAAAGAATACTTTCAACAAAAATATAGGATGTTCTCCAGCAAGAGACACAGATTGACACAGTGTAATACAGAGAATCATTTGGTCCTTGTTTAACATTGGCAAACAACAGGGATAAAACAAATCACTGTGCTGCACAGTGTCGCCTGTGTACATTGCTGGAAAAGGCTCATGATCGCGAATGTGACTTAGGACTCTACCGACCAATGTACAAGACAGTAGCCCTTCGCCTCGGCTGATTTGGAGTGGACACTTCGCAGCGGTCTCCAACTTTGCATAAACTAGCCAAGCGTTCCTCCATCTCCTCCTCCAGTTTCTTCTCCTCCGCTTTCCTTCTCATGTCTTCCTCATTGTACTTTCCCAGCTTGTTCTTCTCCAAGTACGCTTTAACAGTGTCTGCCGAGGTATAAACAGAATACATCGTATTCATCGTTCGAACGCAAGATGAATATTCCCACCTTGTTTCTTGGCGTACTCCTCCTCGGATATCTCAAACTTTTGCACATTGCTCAGTGCATCAGGGGCCATGGCTGCAAAGTTATCGACAACCTGCAATTTTCCTACATTTCATTCGCGAATTCGTGGCTGCCTGCGATAGCCTCACGGCGTGCTTTCCCGTAAGAGAGACACAGATTGACTTGGTGTAACACAAGGAATCATTCTCTTCTCGTTAAATAACGGCAAACAACAAAGACAAAAAGAAATTAAAATCATTTAGACACCAACATCCTGTCTTGGCTCCAATATCCTTTGTTCCTTCAAATTGTGATTTCACGTCAAAGCCTTATGAATTTTATTGTTTAAAGATAAAAACTCTTGAGCTCTCGGGTGCTTTCCAGCAGCGCAACACCGTGAAACACGGCGTATCGTTTTATCTTTGTGCCTGCCGATATAAACAAGGACGAAATGATTCTGTGTTACACTGCGTCAATCTGTGTCTCCCGCTGTAAAGAACCCTTGGTGTCGCAGCGCCGGCCATACTCACGTGTATCCTCATCCCGTCATTGGCAGGATACGATCCCAAGAGACGCTCCTCCTCGTCCAATTTGCACATGAATTTGTCATTGTCGTCATAAAGTTCCACGGTCATCGTAGCTGGATTACCGCCGGTGAGAAGCTCCAGGTTGCCCTACAACCAGACCGTGTAAATCTCCATACATGCACAGGGTGCTTTCCAGCAACGTACACAATCGACGCGGCACGGTGAATCGTTTAATCTTTGCCGCTACTAAGCAAGGATGAAAATGATCCTTTGTACCACACCGCGTCAATTTGCGTCTCTTGCTGGAAGGCAGCTATGGACGAGCGAAAAGTTTAGGCAAGAAAGAAGCGCCTACCTTGAGTTCATGAATGGTTATACCCTTCCGGAATCGACGTGTCGCCCAATTTGACTCCGCGCCGGAGTTTGTGATCGTTAAATTCACAAAGTCGGACGTGCTCACACTGTACGCGTTCATGTTTTACTTGATCTGATATCCGCGCGATATCCGGCTGCTGCAGAAGAGGTAAAGGCTGGTCTACAATACGTGGAGTAAGCGTGGAGTAAGGAGTAAGGGAGAGCCCTAACTTCTAGCTTTTGGTGTAAGGAAGCTGAAATACGGCATGATTGTTAAAATAATTGTAACACTGATTGATGGCATTTTGATTCACCGAGAGTAAGCTAAGAGCTGAAGTAGGAGTGAGAAATAAAATGGATTTATTTCCTTACTCCTACTCCTTACTCCAGCTTACTCCATGTATTGTAGACCAGCCTTGAAACGACTTCAGACGCACGCATTAACCTCTTACACCACTGTTATCCGTATGAAACCACGAATTTATTAATTTCCGCAACTCTATATCCGTCTACAGTTTTATAAAATAAGAGTTCATACCTGGTACTTTCTACTCGCGGTTACTTGCAGAAGATGTAAACAAAAGCGACTTCTTGACACTCTGAAATCTCTAACGACGCATTTTACACTAGACACGTATAAACACATATACAGATCTCCCAGTTCTTCGGGCATGCGCAGTGCAATATGCCGTCAGTTTTTGAATACAAAACACGGCCAAAGACAAGAATCAACACGTGTTCTATAAAGGAATAGAAATAATTTTTAAATAAAGTTTGCGCATTAATGATACAATGATCAATTCTGTTTAAGAATTGCTCTATAATTTTTCTATCATACCGTTGTGTTGTGAAAATTAAAAAAAATAGAAAGAATGTCCGACAAAAACAAGAAGTTATTTCAAATTATCTCAATATCGTAATTCGCTTTAAAAGCTAATAAAATAACAATATTAATTTATTTTAAACAGAAAAATACTTATTCGCAAAATATTTTACGATCGAAAGAAATTAGATTAAATAAATATGTTACATTTATTAGATCACAATAAATTAGCGTTAGATAGATGATATAATTATTGAGGAATCGAAAATATTATAATGTCTGCCAAATATATTCATTGGAATCATTTATTTTTTTTCATGTGTTCTATCTAAGTCAATCAAATGATTACGCGCTTTCGTTATATTAGGTGCGCGTAATCGAAATTTATCAATAAGATTATGACAATTTTAACTTTGTACATAAATCAATTCCAAGAATAAAAAATATACAAGTTAGTCTGAAAGTGTGGCCTACGATCGTGGACAGAAGAATTTCCTCTCGGTAATTTGGCATTATAAAAATAAGTGTCCTCGCCACTTTTAAGCAATTGAAAAAAATGAAAACTATCGCAATTTTTTATCCACGATCTCTAGATGAAACTATTACTTATTAAGGCCCTATTCTGTAAGCGATAACATTATGTGCTTTGCGCAGCTTTTCTGGTATATGTCTGCGCAAAGCATGTAATGTTGTTAACATTTATAGAATAATGTCCACTTTTCTACAAACGTAGCTTAATCTCGGTTTAAGTTACTTTCCATCTTTTTATATTCCTGAAACTAGAACAAGATAAAACGTTAAACCGAGATCAAAGTTAATCCGCATTGGTAGAAATGGAGTTTAGTCTTGGTTGTTCAACGAAAAAATTTTTCAAATACCGAATTATAATTATTATACAAAATAAACACGTTTTATACAGTACAGTTTTATATAATATTATTAATCTGGAGTTCCTCGCTAGCATTGTCTATTTCATTCAACTTATCGAAGTAACAACGATGCTCCTTACAGGAGTTTACCCTTCAGTATCTCGTAAACCATTTTGTTCCTAAAGTACGGCATATCGTCCTGCGTGAATGTTATCTTCTTGTTTCCGCAGGCGTACTCGGCAAACATACACGAGAACACGCCACAATCGCTGCCGTTCATCTGTTGCGGAATGTTCTTGGCGGACTGCAATTTCCAGTCCCTCATATCGTAAGACTGCTTCTTTTTGTCTAGACTCTCGTCCTGTAAATATTGTTTCAGCGCTACCAGACATTTCGGATTACTGCTGCCCATACTGTCGTAATAGGTAATCGATTTGTCCCGGAAATCTACTATCGACATACACCAGTGAATGTCCAAGTGTACAGGCACAACCATAAGATCCTGCGCGAATATGTCCACCTTCCTGGTCCACCGCTTCAGAGACGCGTGGCCGCCCGACAGAAGTTTCGGGTAAAAGAACGTGTTCATCGCGTGCACCTTCGGATACTTGTCAGACGATGTACCTCTTGCGATCAACAGATTCATGTAGAAGTTAATCACTTCATCGTTCAGCCAGTTCAAGTCTGCCAGTGTGTAGAGATCCTTCCGCGTAATCCTCAGACCAAAGCCTTCCGCAAGAACCTCGCTCGGCATACCCGGCGAGATGGCGCTTCTCACCTCTCGCAGCATATCATCGGTCAACGTCGGCAGTGCCGGCTCCTCCGGCTCTTCCCTGTCATCCAGAACGGCCAGGTACAGCTTCATAGAACGCGCCAGTTGTTCCTCCAGAGCCGCCTCTCGCGCGTATCGGTTGTGCTTCGACAGGACGCACGTCATCTTCTTCAGTTCTTCGGCCTCTCTGTGCCGTTGCTCGATTCGTTCGTTGTACCTTTTAGTAACTTGTGGGATGAAGTCTTGTCGCATGACAGCTTTCGCGGCCAGCTCGTCGCGCAACGAATTAGTCGCGGCGACTTTGAGGGCCAACTTCGACGTGGGGGCACGTTGCTGCGCCACACCACTGGTGCTGGGTTTATCAATTGTAATTATTTTCGACTGCAGATACACCGGGACGTCCTTCTCGCCGTAGCTTGAAGTAGGAACTTTGTCTATCCTAGCACAGGTTGACACACTTTCTCTACAGTATGACGTTGTCATCGGCAAACTGTGCCTGCACGTTTTATTAGACGAATGAAACTTGTTGGACATGGGCACTTCCGACTTTTCTAGATCTATCACTTCTACGGATTTGCGCGCGGGTGCGTGCTCCGTGTGCTTATCCATTAATATTTGTATTCTATTTGGAAGCAAATTTTGCAGCATCTCTTCATACTGATATTTCTCCCTCAACTGATTAGTCTTGGATAACGTGATAGACTTGTGACAGGTGTTCGGCGTACTGTTCTTGTAATGTACAAAGGACTCCTTATCGTGCAGCCAGGAGCTGTCAGCCTGGCAGCTGGGAGACATGACTTTATAATACTTGTAAGACTGCGGCTGTTTTTTATGAGTGCCGTTCAGTTGCGTGCACGGTCTTATCGGTGAGCACTTCTGTTCGCCCAGACAGACGATGTCTTCGTCGTCGCTGTCGTCGACGGTGAAATACTGGTCCATTGTACGCGCGACGTTGCAGTTAGGTTTAAATCTCTTGGGCGCTATATATTCCTCCTCGAAGTTGCAGTCCTCGGATGCTCTCCGTTTCTTCGAGTCCTCATCCAACCATCCGAAGATTTTCTTGAGAAAATCGAATATCATAGTCATCGTTAACACATATATGTATCCTGATTATATTAGTGTCCATTCAACGTATGTTATTGCTGTAGTTCGACCTGGAAAACAAAAATGAGAGATTACATACAGATGTAGGTGATTAATAATAATAAAGACAACTGGCAAATTCTAATTAAAGAAATCATTACCTCAGTCAGGGTTTGAACCTGGACCTCCGTACGCTCTAGGCGGGCGTCCACATGCCACAGTGGTCGAATTGGTGAGACGCCCGCCTACAGTGTAGGGAGGTCCAGGTTCAAACCCTGGCTGAGGTAATATTTTTCCGGATAAATTTCTTTAATTAGAACTTGCGCCAGTTGCATCGATTATTAATTCCCTACATTAGTTAATTATTTACTGGCGACAAGAAGTCTTTACTCTTGTTAATTGTGCACAGATGCAGTCCTACGTATGATTTTTGTGTGTCTTATACACAAACGTCACAAAGACCGCAGTGAAACAACTGCAGAGCTGCGTATCCCACGTACAACACTAACAAGTGCGCTATCGTCTAGCTCGGAGTTTTATTTGAAATAAAAGACTATAATTTTGAGAAAAAGAAAAAGAGTATGAAAACTGTAGCTACGAAGAACCGAAAGATTACTTACGATTGAACTGGAAATCGGGGAGGAAAAGAGGAAGGGTAGAAGGTCCAGAAAATTCAGCTAGAGAAGAACAAACTTGTACATAAAATGGCTCGATTATAAAAACACGACGGATCTTAAATATCTTGACCGAAAAGCCCGGTCTGCAATGAGCTGTTAGTCAAAACTGTATGCCAGCTCATTTTCTTTCACCCAGAAGGCAAAAGGATTGACATGTGATTCCAATTTTCGACCAACGGCCAACTCATTGTAGACCTGAGACTCAATTACAAATCTTTTCCTCTAGTGTGAACCCGTGAACAGTAAAACATTTAATTGATAAATATTAAACTCTTCAATGAGATCTTCTCACTTTTCACGAGTACACGCTAGAGAAAAAGATTCACGATCGAGTCCTCGCTTTCCATCGCCGCGCTGGTGAACTAGTGCAGCAAGCTGATACGAGAAAAAGCATACTTGTCTTGCTCTGATTTATTGCGCCAGTTCACTAGGGTGGCAATAAAAAGAGGCCGGTTTCACCCAACGTCGCTTAACTTTAATCTTAGTTTAATTCACGTTTGTCTCTTTCTAAGGTAACATTTGAAAGGAGGCAAAGAAGCTACGCTAAGGCCCGGTTTCACCAACGTTAACTTTATAAGCTTAGCTTAATTCGTTCTTTGCCTCTTTCCAACCGCTACTTGAGAAAGAGACAAACGTGAATTAAACTAAGATTAAAGTTAAACGACGTTTGGTGAAACCGGGCCTAAGGTACCCGGCTGTGATTGTCATCGCACTTTTGGCGGAGTACACGTCGGAGGTTCCAACGGCCGGGACACTTGCGTCGGACTCGCGCACTCAGATCGCTTGTCGTCACCTGCGCAAACGTGCGTGGATCAGTGCGGAGCGGCGCGAACGTCCGCGAGTCACGCCGCAGACGGAAATCTCGATTATGTTTCGCGTAAATGTATGCACGACGTGCGTGCCGCGAGGTGACGTGACGCGAGGTTAACCTCAACCCGCGGCGTGCGTCGCACGCTCGTTCCGGCGGATGCTTACTCGAGGGGCCGCGCCGAGCTCGCGATACGTCTCGCAGCGTGTTACCCGGACGACGCTCTCTCATCCGACGCCTCTCAGATGCGCAATTTGTCGTTCATGGAACATTTAATTTGGAAAACGTCGCGAACATAACTAGAGTTGGCGCTGCCTCTACGCGTATCGTGCTCGGCCATATTTTGCGCGGACCAGGTTGACGGGTTGACCACTCCCGTCCCCGCGCATTTTCTCGAGAGCTACTCCAGCGCCCCCCCCCCCTCTCTCTCTCTCTCTCTCTCTCTTTCTCTTTAAGTCTGTTCCATAGACATAGGCCGCGTTCAGCAGACACAACT